TTTTTCCTTTTTTTTTGTTTTTTAAATTGAAAATATAGCAAACGAGATATTATAATGTCTGAAAAAGTAACGCAGAAGGAAGAGAAAAAAATAAAGGGGAAAAGAATGAGTAAATTAGAAAATATTTTCATAATTTGTTTATTTTAAAATTTACCCGAAAAAATTTTCTTGGAACGTTAGCAAAAAGCATTTGAAATATATTATATAAAGCACTAAGAAGTAAAATGTGACAACCAATCAGCAATAATTATTTGGAAATTTTTTTTTGTTTTTTGTAGTAAGCAAACAAGCACCATTGAATACCGAAAAAGAAAAGAAAAAGGAAAAAATTACAATACAGAAAAAAAGAGAGAAAACAGTGAAGAGAATGAAGGAATATGAAAAAACAATGGAAATTTCAAAAAAAGTAGCATTCATAATGAAAGAAAAGTAAAGGAGAAAATATCGGAAATGTTTAATTTTTCAGTTAATTAAAAACAAAATAACTGGAATTCACATCTTATTTTATAAAATTCATATTCGAATTTTTCATTTTTTTTTTTTTTTTTAGAGAACACTGATAAAATTAATTACAATTTTGATAGAAAAAAAAAGGGAAAAAAGAAACATAGCAAAAGAAGGAAAAAGAAAATTGGAGAATGCCCTGATCACTGAAATATTGCCCCGTCTTGCCTTGTATCATTAACTTGATTTTCTAATAAACAATGCCAATCATTTCTTCGTTGTGGATCTTCATCTAGCGAACTTTCATATGGTGGTGGGGCTGAAATTTCCAAAATATAAGTAAACAAATAGGATAAAGAATTGAATAAAAAAAAAAAGAAAAAAGGAAAAATCGTCAAAATGGATCGATCAATTTGTAACTTATAAACCTTTACAGGTTATGTCAAAAATAATTTTGATGACATTATGTCACTGAATAAACAATCTATCCATTTTTTATTTCAAGTATTTTGTTTGCAATTCTATTGAAATAAGTTAAGATCGCTACAGTAAATCAAATATTATATTTGAAATATTCTTTAAATGAGAATAAAAATTACTGACAATTTAATAAAATGTATTAGTTAAAAATATTTAACACTTTTAGGTTTCTAATCCATTTTCCAGCAAATGATACAAATTGTACCACATTCGTCCATTTCTGGCGATAACGGAATGACATGAAGGAAAGGACTACTTGAAAACGTTTTACTTTCTATCAAAAATCCTTTTTTTCCATTTCTATACAATAAAATTAGATAATTGAATGTTTAAAGATTACAATTTGACTAGCTGTTTATATTTCGTTTTGAATTTCTTGTAGCTAACAATAATAAATGAAACGGCGAAATTTGTAAATTTCAAACTCTTTTAACATGTACAGTTAATAAAAAATGAATATTATTTACCAAATCTTATTTCCATAATTAGTGATTATTGGTAGTGCCATATGATAATAAATTTTTATCGTTATGATAAATTAAGCAAAATTCTATTTGTCAATGATAAGCATTGAATATCTAAAATGATATAGAAAAAAAAAAGGAAGAAAACTTCGCCCAAAAGAAATATTCATTTAGGAAACAGGAATTATGATAATTTTGTAAGAATAGCAAATTTTAATTAATCTATAAATTCAATGGGACGTAAATAACTTTTTTTTAGGTAATAGTTAATTTTATTATTGGACAATCATGACTTATAAGAATTGAAATCTTATGAGGTAAGCAACCTTTAAAATTCCGAAAAAAAAAAGGAAGATTGGAACTAATAAAATACTAAAATTACCATTGCTTATAACTAACAGTTACCGTAGTTTTTCATTACCTATACATTCATTTGCTTCTTTAATAACTTAGTTACATTAAAGAACAGCAATGCCTATACTCTTCACAGCATTCACTTTCAAAGTAATAATTTATGACATTTAGTGTGAATGCTAAATTTAGACTCGCAATAACTGTCTGAAAGTCTGTCTGCTAAACTTTAAAACTTCCCTTTTTATGAAAGCAATTTTAATTTTACCAAACACTTTCAGACTATATTTCAGGAATCGAACAAATGACAAAGTAAGTAATAGTAAATGTAGCATGACGTAATATTCTATTATCATCGCAAATATTAATGTAATTAGTATAGTTAGGGTTGTTAGGTTAATGGACATAAAGTTTATGACCTTTGTGTGGACAGTTGAAGGGCGTTAAATTAATTGGCCGTTAAATTAATTGTGCGCGCTGAGCAATCACTCATTTATAGTCAGTCTAAAAGAGACAATAAATTCTTAACTTGCCTGTAGTTCCCGTTTCAAATGATGTTCATATCTTGTGTTTAGTCGAAAAAAAAAAGAAAAAAAAATTTGACGATACTTGACCATTGTCACTTCCACATTTTATCAAGATATTAAAGTGACACTTATCAAGTACCATGGATAATTTGGGCGAATGTTATGGAAATCTTAGATGTGAAGGGATAAAAACTTGAAATATATCTGATATCAATCATCAATGATACTATTTCAATGGTGTCATTGCAGCTTTTTGGACTTTTTGAATTAAAATTTCACAGCTCTATAACGTTTAATGGAATTCATTGCTCATTGTAAAAGGATTAAGTGTTTCTGGAAATTGAATGAGAGTGTAACAGGAAAGTGTGGATGCTTCCTTCAACCATCATTCTACTATCCCAAGAGAGAAAAACGAAGTCGGAATCTCATCCTGTTATTGCAAATTTCATTATTTATGCAGTGGCAATCACGAATCATTTATCTGCAAATGCCTTCGAAAGAATATTCAATTTGTGGCAAGCCTGAAAAGCCATTGTAAGATATAAGAGGAGACAAAGAGCCTGGAGTGACAACACATTTTTCCTGTTAACCTCCCTAGAGACCTTCAACCTTCCCTCCTTTTACATCCGTGATATTCTCTCTTTCTACTTAAACTGAAACTAAAATATTCTTTGTTCTGCATAATTTCAGTATGACTACTTCCATTGCATTCATGCATTTATTTTAGGGAAATTTGCAGAATTTTTTGAATCTTAAATGCATGCAACTTTTTAGAATGTTTCTATCCTGAAATTATTCTCAAATTTCTTACCTTTTCGTTTCCTGAAGAATGAAATTCAAATTGAAGATAACAGAAATAGAATCTCTTTGATTAATCTTAAATTTTTATTGAAACTATGAAAATTTCCTAAATTTATACTTCATTGCCATATCAACCCTATCTAATCAAATTGTAAAAAAAAATTTCATTCTTAATCGATTTTGAATCATTCCCATTTCATTCGTTCAATTCTTGCATATTTCTTCAAACATAATGTTCAAGAATACGGAAAGCCAGTTATCACGACTAATGTGTCCACATCTATAACTGACCACGACACTCATTCCGTTAAAAACTTCAACATGCAAAGATTTATTCAACAAACTGACCGAAACCAAAGTTTAAAGGCCATAAGTCATAAATGCTATTATATACACTTATAAGCTCCTACTTTACTATGGATAAAGACAATGAAAACATGAAGATTTCGGACTTTGTTAAAATTACAAAAATCATCTTTCCTAAAACTATCAAACAAACTGAAGTTCATGACAATTAGCTAAGCTTAATTTAGAAGACAAATTATTGGATAATGCAAGAGAACTGATAAATATCAACATAAATGTTTAATTCCAAATCTCCAGTTCTTGCATCTTTACCCAGTATTTATCTCAATTGTCGCAGGAGGGCAAATGGTCAATTGATCAATCAAAGTTATCCTATGCTACCATAACATAGAAAGGAAGAGGTTTACCAGTGAGCTAAATCAATTCTAGCAGATGCTTGAGTTGTATTTCATAGTTCAGCAACAATAGGTTAGCAATTATAGCTTTTAAAGCCGGATTTTACATTTGAAAATTTGATAGTTCCGATTAATATGAAATCTAAAAGTGAATTTTAATATTATATGCTTCAGATTTAAATTTAACTTCTATTCAACCATTTTTTTTTCTATTTGAAATAAAACATCAGTTTATCATATTGAAGCATTGATATGATTATGTTGAAGGTATGCAACAAATATTGTATCATTTCTTGCAGTAACAGAATAATTAACTTTTGGAATAAAAGGATGAAATGAGAGATAAGAAGAAAGGAAGAAAAAAAAAGAAAAGATGAAAAGATAATGTTAAGCATTAATTCTATTTGAAATGCTAATTAAAACGAAAATTTAAAATTCCCAAAACAATTTTTCAATCAAAAACAAATGCAATGATTTTTTTTCCTTCCACTTTTTTTTTCGTTACATTTTTCGATCACTTTGGTTGGTGATAATTCATCGAAATTAACAAATGGATGGGAAAAGAAAAAAGAAAGAGAAAGTTTTTCCCTTTGCCTTAAAATTTAAAGTATTGAAGCTTAGCAAGCATTAAACAAAAGGATTCCATTGGGAAATTTGTAAAAAATTTCATTCCTTTTTTTTACACTTCCTATCCATATTAGCTCATTTTCCTTTTTTCCTTCTCTTCTTCTACTTTCTTTCTTTTCCTCTTTTCCCTGTTCCCATAATCCTTCCTCCTCCTAACACTTCAAAATTTGTGTTCCCATGAGATATTTATGAATTTAATCAAATAAGGCATCCCCAGCTTTTAGAGCAAAAAAAAAAGGATGGAAAAAAAAAAAACATGAATTGTCAAAAAATAAGTTTGGAAAAAGGAACAGCTAAGTGAAGTGTATGACATTTCAAAAAAAAAAAAAAAAAAAAAAACTTATTAAATTTTCACTATATGAATTTTTTGTCATAAGCAATCGTTGCGAAATAAACAAACGACAAATCATTCATTCATTTTCTTTCACGCATTTTAAAATTACCATTCATCTGATGGAAATATGTTTTGCTAAGTCGTTTGGTAAGTTATAACTTGCGTAAAGTATGAAATTTTAAAATGGAAAAAAAAAAAACCTTCATAGGTGACCGGTTTTGTTGATAAGGTATCCACAGGACGATAACGTTGTTGTATTCCCTGTGCTGTTGAGCATGCTAAAAAAAAAAAATGAAGTGTCAGATTATAATTAAAATACAAAAAATTTATATTATAAAAAACCAGAGCAAAAAAAAAATTTTGAAAATACAATTTTTTTTTGTCCTGAAATATAACTTAAGTTATTGAATTCAAATTAATGATTTCCGTTAAACGAATTACATGAAATTCAAATTAATGAATTGAAATTGATAATTTTATTCGAATAAATTGCTTGCAATGATTTAACTCAAATGAATTGGTCAAAATTTGAGGGAGAAAAAAATTACTTGATTTGGCAGCATTCATGGGACAAAATGAAAGATTTTTACAAAGGCACATCGTCATTACCGTCAACAGTATGAGTGCACCAATTACGCCAACTATAATTACAGCGAGGTAGCTAAAATGATGGAAAATTAGGTTAAAAAAAAAGTGTGTTCATTGAGGGAATTCAAAAACTAAAATAACTTTTCAAAATTCAGGGCAAAAAAATGAAGCAAAATCTTCAACGTTCCTTTCTTCTACCTTTTCTTTTTTTTTTGGCTTCAGTGATAAAATTATTTGTGTTGATTATTTAAGCTCTTTACGTTCAGAAGTTTAACTTCCAATAAATTTCTATCCATTAAAATTTTTGTCAAGTTTCGATATTATTTCAAAAATTCAAAGGTTAGAATAACGAATTTTAGATGCCTTAATGACCTGTAATGTTATAAAATTAATTAAGTCAAACAAAACAAGAACTGGAAAAAAATGACGATAATAGATGAACTGCTTTATTCCTTCAATAACATTTTAATCTTTAATAGAATTTTTACATACTTTAAAAATGCCATATGTATCTTTTGAAGAATTAGTCAACGGCTCTTTATAGGAGATTTTCTCATTTCATTAACATTTAATATGATCAAATTTTTCCTTATATCATTCATTTGTTTTGTGTCCAAAGATTGAAAACAACACATTGAGATATCAAAATGGGTCGGTACTATTGGAATGAAATTTAGGCATATTTTGAAGATTATCAAAATAATGAATTTAATAAATCAATTTCACGAACGTTGACATTTAATTTTAACTTTATTTTCGGTTTACTTTATACTAATAGGACTTTTTACCGTTAAAAAAAAACAAAAAAAAAAAACAAAAAAAAGAAGCGAACATGCTATAGATCATTTTGAAAAATAAATGTACATCATTTTTTCTGGCTCAATAACTTACACGTGTACTTATTCAACAATGTGTAGACTCAAAAAAAAAAAAATGGATGAATTTAATACAAAGAAAAATGCTGGCTAATTTGGAATCGAAGCGTAAATTTATGAATTGTGTGTGAGAAATTAAAATTAAATCAATTTAATACATGACAAGATAATTTCTTAAAGTTGTACTTTTAGACTGAAATTAAATCAGAAATTCTAAATATCAAATGAAATTAATCAATATTATGACTAATTAATTAGTTATAATTTTTCAAGAATTTATTACCAATGAAATTGGTTCATGGAAATAGCTAACCAGATTAATCCACAACACATTCCCTTATTTCGTTTTAATTTTTCTCTCGCATGTTAGAAGGATAATCTTCACATGCAATATGAAAGACCTACAACTCATTATGCTACTTAATTAACTCACAAACAGAAAGGAATAATAAATGAAACGGTAGCATAACAGATATCTAAATAATTAAACTTCACCCATGAATGACATATATATATATATATATATATGCTCACAGACATAGAAGTATAATTGTTTTTGTTCTGCTTTTATCATTTAATAATATTTGTTGTTCCCTTATGGAAGCATGCTGCCATCATTATCTTTAATAACAGTCCTGCCATTTGATTCAACCCTAATTAACCATATTGGAATTAATCAACTTAAAATTAACTACCATATCAGTGATGTAAATATTTTTAGATGTTGCAAGCAACAAATCTTAAAATGAATATACAATAATCCTTTTGTAGAATATAAGAAATCATATCATAAACATAATGTTTAAGTGCATAATTACTTACTTTAATTCTTTAAATTCAATTCTTTTAATTCCCAAAATTGCTTGTAAGAGTAAAAATGGAAAAATTTTGCATCACGAAATTTTTAGCTATGGCAAATAATAACCATGGCAATAATAAGAACAACAACAATAACAATAATCAATTGCTCATATTTTATCATTATGATAATATATTAATTGAAAATTTGTTTTTAAAAGTAAATTTAAAAAAATTTTCATGGGATTGAAATTTTGTGAATTACATGAACACTTCGGGATTTCGTACAATTTTTAAATGTTTCCCTTAAATAAATATTCATCCAGAAATTTTTGGTGATTTTTTTCCCCATCATAGCATACATTCTGATAAGAGATCACAAAAAGGGTTTGAAAAACAAATGAAGTGGAAATGATGAAAGAAAAAATTTTTTTTTCCAGTTTATAAAAGTCTATTAGTTATTGCGTGACTGTTAGAATGTTGTTTTAAATGAAAAAAAAAGTAATAATTCAAATCGATGAATGAACTGAAAGGACACATTCAAGAATATTGCCATTAAACGATGACGATTTTATTGAATACCATATCAAAGACATTTCTCTAATTTCATGAAGCAGTTTTTTTTTTCCGGAAATACAAAAAAGCTCATAATTTTACTGCAAAAATTCTACAAATGATTCACTTACCTATCAGCAGCTATTGAAGTAGGATTATTTTCCCAGAATTAACCAAAATTTAATAATTCAATTTTTAGTTTCATTGAAATAATCGGAATTATTAAGAGAAGAAAGTATGAAAGGGAAGAAGAGGAAGAGAGAGAAGGAAAACGAAACAAATTGACATGTCATCTGACTGTTAATCTAAATTTTGAAATACTGCCAAAATGTATGGGTTGGAGAATGTAAATGTGACAACGGTAGGTGACTTCTCCAGTCCTAAATTTGAGTTAAAGGAATAATATGATAATCATAAGCAATAAAATATCAAAAATACAGCATCATCCTATCTATTCATCTATAATGCAGAGATTTCAAAATAATTCTAATCACTTTTTAAGTTTTGGAAAAAAAACCTTTTTTTTTCATTAAGAAAATGAATAAATCATTTATATTTTATTATGGGATAAGTCATTGTATTATTATCACTGTCATAAAGATATGTCAAGAAGCAAATCCCGCGGGATATCTAATATACTGGTAAAAAAGTTGTTGATCTATTAGATGTATTCTAACGACATAATCATATACATATATCGAATGATTTATAATGGACATTATTTGTAGTCGACAATTTAGAATAAAGAAGATTAATTTATGCAAAAAATACGAAATAATTCATTCCGAAAAAAATTGTTACATATAACAAACTGTTTGTTGGATATTTTAGAATATAACAAATGATCATTACTATAAACGATCAATTAACTAGTCATTACTCATCATGTAATGAATGCTTTTAAATAATACGAAATACTGTATAAATATCATATTACAATTTTGAGCTAAATTACAATAGTACTTTTATTTAGCTACAAATTTTACATCAAAAAGAAATATTGCTACGTTTATGCAAATTCAGAAATCATATTTATATATCATAAATTTTTGAGAAATTTAAAATTTCATAGTGATTTTCAGATTGAATCCATTTTTAACGCTATATTTTTATTCGAACAATATTTGTGTGCTTTATATTTGCTTTTAGAAATTTAAAGAAAATATCTAGACTCTCTTTAGCAATTTCATGTCCACAAGTTTAATTTAGCATAATGGTGGTACGATGGTTCAATTTCCGGGTCGGTCGAGAATGATGAAAAGATGATGAGATGAGAGAAAGGAAGCAAATTTTTGAATTGCTGATTTTGTTCAAATTTACGCTTCCTTATCAGAATATGCTTACGATGTTAGCTATAAAATGGTATGGTAAATAAACAACCAATTTGAATAGTAATGCTTTAATAATTTAACAACAGATCGCCTTCATCTTTTGCCTTTCTTTTTTTTTTTTTTTTTTTCTTTATCCTTCGTTTATTAATAATCTTCAAATATTTACAATTAATGTTTAACAACAAATAAACATCATTCTTATAAAAAATGAAAGATCGAAGAGAGAGAGAGAGAGATCAGGCGAGAAATGGAATGAAAGGAAATCAATGATAAGTTCATTTGATGGATAATTCAATGAAATCAATGCTATTAAAAGGGGAAAATTTAATTGAAGATAGATTATCATCCATTCTACAATTCTTAAATGGACAAAAATGCAACCTAAAATACATTTATTTCATCTATACATATATCATATCTAACAAATAAATCCAAATCAGTCCTCCATTATTCCACTGCACTATAAATTCTCAATTCAACTCTCTCTCCCTCTTTCTCCCTTTCTCTCTCTCTCTCTCTTCCTCTTCCTCGCACTCTTTCCCTCTCCCCTTTTCTTTTTCCTACATTTGAATAAATAAATATCATAAATAAATATCACTTAATTGCAACATTTGCCCAGCCAGTTTTGATTTCAGAATTTGATTGTTGTAAGCTTCAAATAGCGTAGAAACATTTTAAGTAAAAAAACAAATAATAAATAATAAAACAAAAATAAATGATGAAATTCCAAATAGTAAGTAAAATTAATGAAATTTGTAATCAATTGATTCCCTAAATTTTGAAGAGTAATTAATATATATATATATATATATACACTTTTATAAGCCTTAGCAACCTTAATAATCTTCCTAACATTTTGTTAATAAATGACGGCTGAGAATTTCATATGTTAAAATTAAAATGTCATATGAAAATTCATTAACAATATTTGTAATCAATTAATTCCCTAATTTCAAACGATATTTGATTTGTTTATAAACTTACTGATGGAAATAAAAATTTTATTCAATTTTAAAAGATTCCTCATGCATACTACTAAAGCTATTGCTAAAATGAGACTTATTACACTGTTATTTAAGTGTTTTCATGTAAATGTTAAAAGTATGATTGTTAAATTTTTCAGGAAAATTTGATTAAAATCTAAAAAGAAACAAAAAAAAGAACGAAAGAAATGAATTCAAAATTATAAAAATTATAAGTAATACTATGAAATGTTTTTGAAATTTATAGTTTAATTACAACTCAATCCTAAACTAATTATTGTCAATTAACTTGATTTAAACAAAGGAAATAGGGGAAAGAAAAAAAAATGAAATAGGGAATCTGTGAGTAAATTAAGGTATAATTTAGCTCTTCCATGTTGCTTATATTTTAATTAATTTAGATGATAAAAAGATCAATGCTTGTTGAAAAAAACGATTAGTATATAACTGAGAAGATATTACTATATTTTTATGATAGAAATGAGAGAAGAAGGCACGATAGAAAGTGAGAGATTGCTTGTCTCATTAGTGTAACTGAATTACTCCTCAATATTTCTCTTTTTACATATATACATATATGTATATATCTACCTCTTTTTTCATTGGTGACATTGTTCATCTTGAAAATGGAGACACCAGGAAAAGGACATCCGCTCAAAAGTAATGCATGTACAAAGTATAACGCCTTTTCAGACATAGCTTAATCTACTTCAGGCTAGGTTAAGACTATCACCGTCACCAAAAGCAGCAAGAGCAGTAGCAGCATAAGCATCAACACACCAAGTAACATTTCTCAGAGCAGCCGTAATAATCAATAGAGATGTCTTTTTTCCTCGTTTTTTTTTTCCCCATTCAACTTGCATTTGCCGTAATGACTGGAACTATATATAGGAAATAAAAGAATGGAAAAGACGAAATAAGAATTACAGGAACTAGGAAAAATGAGTGAGAGTATAATGATGAAACCGGATTAAGTATAATAATGAGTGATAGTAGTTAGTTGTAAAAGAGGAGGAAAAAAGATGGAAGATGAGGAACGGATATTTAACAGGAAATGAAATTTTGTGCCCTGAATTGAATAAAAAGAAAAAGTATGGAAATAAAGCATAAAAAAGGAAGAAAGAAGGAAACTCACTTCTTGATGAACTGTCGCCTAATTTCGGCTGCCTGCTCGGCTTCGATTTTATAGAGATGCTCCTGTGAGCAGCAATAGTAACTTCCGGGAATTATATGAGATGGACAGCAATATTTTTCATCTTCATTATCCTTAAAATCTGGACATACTTTTCGTTTGGTGATTGTTGCTGGTTTACTCAAACCACCACCACCACCACCACCACCGCCACCACCACCACTACCACCACCACCACTACTACTGCTGCTACTACTGCTAATACCAGAACCAGATGATTCAGATGGACATGTTACCGCATCAACAATCCGTATGACAAGTAGGAGTGGTACAATAATATAGCGATAATATAGGATCGCAGTTAATGTACCGAGAAATGCTGTCGAGCAACGAAATGAAGAAGCCATTCTTTTATTAACAAAAGAACGAATAGTGATGAAATTTCTAACTAATCAGTGAATACATAATGTTATCACTAATACCATCTGATATCCATTAATTCATTGGTTGAAATTTGATCAATTTACTTTATGACTGGAAAATCGACACAACATGAAATTTCAAAACAATTTTATTTTAAATAACAATCAAAACATTGTACGAAAAAAAAAAAACTTTTTTCCGATTCAATTACGATTACAAAACGCAATTTCTTCTTGTCTTTTTTTTTGCCTTCATAATGTGTATGCTATGCTACTTTATCATATTTCTTTTTATGCAAAGTTATGTAACATAAGCGAACTAATTTATGATATTTAAAAGAAGCAAGAAAATTATCCTTGAAATGCTATAAATATCAAATCATATGATCCAATGTATCACGGAGTAATCTCGGGATAGTAAAGGAGGAAAATATCAAATCATATGATTCAATGTATCACGGAGTAATCTCGGGATAGTAGAAGAGGAGGAGGAGGAGGAGGAGGAGGAGGAGGAGGAGGAGGAGATAAACGATTAATGGAACTGATCAATAATTAAATAAACAAGTGCGTCATTTACCAGACAATTAGGGTTGGCTTGAGTGATGTTTGTGGTAGTAATGAAGAGTGTAAAGGAGAAAAGGTAACAAAGAAGGATGCAGGAAGGCGGGAAGAGGAAAGACGGGGAGATGGAAAGAGGAAGGAAAAAAAACCCCAAGGATTGAATGAAGTTAAATAAATGGAATTTTGAAGGAAAACAAAAAAAGCTGTTGTCTCTTTTACACTCAGTGATTTGAAATCAAATAATAAACAAGCATATGTAATATATGTACATGTGTGAATGTGTCTGTGTGTATGTGTGTGTGTGTATGTATGTATGTGTGTGTATATATGTTCGACATGAAATTGAAAACAAGTAATCATCGATCAATGAATCCGATCTGACGAAAAGAGATGAGAGATGAATGGAAGAGATCAATCAAGCAAGGCTTTTTCAACAATCAACAATCAAATTGCAATTGAAAATTATAAATAATAAATTTATCAAAATATTATATTTGTAAAAAAGATTGAGAGAAAGGAAAAAATAAATAAATAAACAAAAACTGTTTCAAATTTATTTAAAAATATCTCTTGCAAATAATTTATTATTTTAATTAATGCATCAAATTATCCCAAATAGTTTCGATAAATTGAAACAATGGCGCAATCTTAAGTTTACCGACAGGTTTATCATTTTTCATTTTTTCCTATTTTTTTTACTAATTTGTTTTTAGCCTCTTTTCGTTGATCCATATTTGATTAGGAAGAGAATGGAGGTATTGCACTGAGGTTGAATTTTAAAATTGACATTCAAAGCTGCCTTTGCTATTCCATCTTATTTAAATCATTAAAGTTCACTGATAATTTTGTATTCCATTTCTTGCATTTTCTATAATTAAATTATTATCGAAGAGTGAAGGATATATTTATTATAAATTATTCAAGAGTTAGCTGTTGAAAAAAAAAAGAGAAAAACAAAAATTAAATTAACTAAATGCTTGCTTGCTTGCAGGATTGAATTCCAACAGCAGTTAAGAAAAATTAACTTTCCTAGATTCGTCACCTCGGTCAACTTTCAAACATGAAGTTTTCTAGAATGGAACAAAATTTTAAATCTATAATTCCAGAGTAAGAATGTAAGTTAACAGGGTAAACTTTGTATCAAAGTAGCAGTAAGTGAAGTTTATTTCCAATAACTGTCTTGAAAAAGGATATGACGATAAAATGGTACGGTAATTTGTCAGGATAAAACATAGAACTTTGAGAATTTATGGGAAGCACTAAAAGAAGTACCCAAACATTCTATAAATTAATTCTTGAAATGCTCTTTCTATCGGTGGGAATTACTAGCAAAAAGCCTTTTGATTCCCTGGTGATTCCATCATTGGATTTTCTACAAACAAACTAGTAAATAAACGCATATCTACATTCAGAAACTTTCTTTTCTTAGGAAAAAAAAATAGAATTTAGTAACGATAAAGAAATAAATGATAATGTAGGAATTATTTCCGGAAAAACCTAACATTTCAAAAATAATTTAACAAAGAATAATTAATCAGCTAGGTAGAATTATTATGGGATATTCGACATTTCATGCAGAATATTGTATCTACTAGTAAATATGCATATGTGTGACAAGAATATTAAGTGAACTTCAGAACGGTATGCAATATTGACAAGTATTTCGATTCTTGAATTGTTATCTGCACATCTCAAAATATAATATCAGTACTTCCAGATGATAGGATGGAACTGTAATAGGAGGACAATCAAAAATGAAAGTAAAATGCGATATGTCATATGTCATTAGTAATGAAAACTGACAGTACAGTGCAAATGCGTCAGTGAATCAACCGAAGACTGCACGGAAGGATGTGATGCTATTACCGAGAGCTGCTTTTTTTTCTTTTTTTTTTCACCGATCCTATGCTAACAACTTGATCAACCATGTTAACTCCCTGTGCTTACAATTCAATTCACATTACCACATTAAACTCGCTATAACTATAGCTTTAAGCACCATTTCGATGTCATAGCATCACACATACACATATATATACACACACACACACACACACACATACACATACACACACACATATACACACACACACATACACACTACATGAACATTAGCAATGACACAACTACCGACAAAGCACCACACAGACACATACATAAACTCGGAAAAAACGTCCGACAAGGACGCTGAGGCCCACTTCCCTCAAAGAATATCCGAACGATGCTCGCTCCGCCTCGGTACTGCAGCCAGAACAATGAAAACGGAGCAAAAGTACGGGCGGTTTCATTCCTAGTCGGGGGCCTTAATAGCCTCATAGTCTCCTTGCCCATCTCCGCCCCATGGCCCCATGGAGACGGGGAAGAAGGCGTCAGGATGGCCACACCCTCACAGAATTACATCCCTACCCTCGACCACCATGAAACATGTCATTACCATACACACACATACACATACACACACACATACATATATAAACGCAAATGCACTCTTCATCTTAATTAAATTAATTTACCCAAATCTAATGATACTATACTGTTCCATATCTATATGTATTCATTACCGCCAAGTTTTATATCTCATTCATTATTAGGAGACAGGAGATGAAGAAAGGTACCAAGCTATGTAATGGTCATATTTAGCGACATACCTGAGGTTTTAAGATGAATTAGAAGTCAGGAATTTTTGAAGAATACCATAAAAGTATCACTTTCTAACAAATATCTCTGTCCCATCGATAGACATACATGGATGATCCTGGAACTCCTGGAACTAATCCTGGAACTTCACGAAAGGTCACTAGATTACAATTTGTCCATTTCACAAAATTACAATTTAATGAAAGTGAGGAAAACAGAAATGAGATGGATAAGATGATGCTATTAAACAGGGAAATTTTGAATGTTACGGTATTACAACTTTTCCTGTAACATTCAAAAATTTCCTT